CGATCTCCGGCGCTTGTCCCGGTCAGTCCAGCTTGTGCCCAAGGGCCACTCAGCGACTGGTCCTTCGGGGCGGAGGGGAGCCTCAATTCTCCGGCATTACGCCATGAAAGAGGCTACCCCTCAAAAGCCCCCTGGCCTGGAGCCTATCGCAAAGGCTCCACAGGGGTGTCACTTGAGGTGGCACCACACCAGGCCGCTGGTGTGCGATTCGCCCTCCTCCATTGTGAGGAGAGCGTCCGCCATTGCTGCTCCATCAACTGGAAGTCTCAGGTGTGCCACAACATATATATACCTGCCCTTCAAAAAATTTACTACAGGTTGCACATAAAAACTATCAGGTGTGCCACAACATCTGATAGTTTTGATGTACAACCTGTAGTAAATTTTTTGAAGGGCAGGTATATATTGTGTCTCCTTAAAAAAAACAATCTCAAGGAGGATAACAATGAATGAAGCTTCTGAACAACCAATTTAATATGCACGGTCAATGAAGGATTATACTTTAAATAAACTCAAAAACATTTTAAATGACTGACAAATTCAATACTGTTGCCTTCAATTTTCCAGGGTTTCTTGACCTTTTTATTCTTTGAAAAAAATAACTATTTTCGATTTATTGAAATTGAATTCTAGAAGTTGACAGAAATCCGTAATCAATTTCCAAAATCCTATAGAGGTACAACTTAACAGAACAAGATCACCTGCATAAAGAAGCATAGAAATAGAATGACCTTGAACAGAAGGATTACTAGAAAGCTTAGCCTTAGGGGTAAAATAATTGAAATATAGATTTAAAAGAAACAGGGCAATAACACATACCTGTCTTTATTACCCAACCAAGGGCTGGGTAATAAATGAGTAATATAAAAACTGACTGTATTAACTGGAATCCCTAACTGAAAACTTAAATGTTCCTTTACCTTCTATCAATAATTGAAATATACATTTAAAAGAAACAGGGCAATAACACATACCTGTCTAATGCCCTTACCAATTTTATAGACTGCAACAAAGGAGAATTTCTCGAGGGGAGTATGTAGACAAGGTTGTCAGGGTAAAGATTTTTGACTAGGATTAATAGTGTATCAGGAACTGATATAAAATGAAATTTATTCCACATGAAATTACGTGGTATGAAATCAAAAGCCTGATAAAGATCCATAAATGCAGCAGATTTGTGCAATAGAAGATAAAATAAAGCAATAATGTATACATGACTGTTTTCTTCTAAAAATAAATTGTGCTGGATTCAAGATGCCATGTTTGTCCATCCACTGAGATAGTATCTTTGAAAGAAAATGGGCACAGACTGTGCCAATTATAGATAGTAAATTAACTGGATGATAATTTGCAGGATTTGCCCTGACTCTTTCTTGCAACCTAGGACTGGGTAATAAATGAGTAAAATCTAAACTGACTGCATTAACTGGAATCCCTAACTGAAAACTTAAATGTTCCTTTACCTTCCATCTTGATCTCCATGATATATGTCTATTCTTGTAAGGAAAAATGGGAACCATTATTTATTATTCACTATTGAGAACTACATCTCACTATCAGACCCATTATGTACCTCCAATTTCTGATCTGAGAATATGTGAGCATTTGATTTATCCAGCACTGCCTGAATAGATGTTATGACAGCTAAATTAGTATGAAATTATACACATTTTGATTATAGAATGGCAAAAGTTATAATTTATTTATAGAATCAAAGATTTTTTTGTAGTCTCAGCAACCATAAAAGTTTGAGTATCTTAGCAGATTGTAGTCTATCAAAGAATTATTCATACTGTGCATACCTCTTTCCTCTTCCTTCCTCTTCTACCCAATACATTCAGTAAGGCTAAGAATTTTTTCTCCCTCTCATCAATTAGTACACCAAGTAAATTAACACACCAAATGAATCTTCACACAGATAAGAAAGAAAAAAGAAAGAAAAAGAAAAATGAAAGGTGGAAAAGAAAGCAATTAACGTCAAGATTCTTTGCCAAGCCTCCCCTCCCATGCTTAATTAACCAAGGGAGGGGGAAGAAGAAACAAAAGGGAGCTAATGTTGCCAAGACCAGAAACACAGCCAAACACCACCAAACTCAGCTGACAGTGTAACAGCCAATAGACAACTGTAGAAGAGGCAGAATGACAACATGAAAGAGATAACAAGCTAGGCTAAAATAGATAAAATTACCCCCCCCCAAAAAAAATATGGACCACAAGATTAAGGTGTCTGACAGTATCACACTGGAAACACCAAGAAGACAAAAGTAAGGACTACTGTGGAATTACACAACTTTAAGTGTGATGATGAAGAAATTTAAATTGTTCAAGATTTTCTATTCCTTGCCTTCATCATCAACCAAAAGGAAGACTACAACCAAGAAATCAGAAGGTGATTGAGACTGGGAATGTAGCCATGAAGCAACTAGAAAAGATTCTTAAGTGTACGGATGTGTCACTGGTATGAGTGTGAAAGTTGGACAATGAAGAAAGCTCACAGGTAGAAAGTACGTACATTCCTTTGAAATGTGCTCTTGGAGGAGACGTTTACGAATACTGTTGACTACCAAAAAGACAAATAAGTTGGTTCTAGGTCAAATCAAGCCTGAACTGTAAGGTAAGATGAGTAAACTGAGGCTATCATACTTTGGGAACATTATGGGAAGATAAGACTCATTGGAAAATAATGCTAGGAAAAGTTGAAGGGAGCAGGAAAAGAGGAACCCAACATGAAGTGGATTGACTCAATAAAGAAAGCCACAGCCATCAGGTTGCAAGACCTGAGCATTAGGACATTTTGGAGGACATTATTAATTCACAGACCCACCATAAATTGGAAGTGGAACACATATATACATCTGTGAAGTAGTCTACAGCTTTTATGCATCAACAGACTAACCTTGAGGAATGTATTATGTCTCATAACTCTTGTTCTAATGAACATGACTAACCTTGAGGGATGTATTATGTCTCATAACTCTTGTTCTATCTCACAGCTCTCCCGCTTTCATTTATGATAAGCTTGGAATCATTTTAATGTTAATATCCAGCATATTTCCTCACTTCATTTAAAAGGTTCATTAAAGCCTACATTTTACCTGGTTTCTTTTAAACTTCTTTTTTATCTTTTATGTTAACTGAAAATGAAATAAAAACAAACTCATCTTCTGTAATATATATATTATGATGTAGCCAAGTGCGTGTAAAGTTTTTGCATAACAGTACATTCATTCTTTGTAGCTCTGACCTGGATATCCCAGGCTAGCCCAATCTCGTCAGTTCTTGGAAACTAAGCAGGGTTGGCCCTGGCTAGTAGTTGGATGGGTGACCTCCAAGGAATACCAGGAGCATGATGCAGAGGCAGGCAATGGCAAACCACCTCTGAAATGTCTCTTGCCTTAAAAAAAAGTCTAGCTTGCCACCTAGTGGTGCATAATACTAAAAGAGCTAGAACCTCTGGCTGCCAGACAATCTCAGGATCTCCAGGTTATAGGATACACACTGCCATATGAGAATTATGTTTTCTTATTATCATTCTTCATAGTGCCCTTGCTTGTTCTCCCTGGTGTTTGGATTGCAAACCACCTGGTGGAGACTTGCCTTTAATTTTGGCTGGTAAATTTTAAGTACTATATAAATGAAAAGTTAAATAGTACTGTAGTCTTTTCCCAAATTGGCCCACAGATGGGCATGCATGAACAGTCCCTACAACTCTAGGGCTGCGCAATGGTTTTTGTTAACACAGTGGTACCATGCAGAGACCTCAGAACAACCTCAGACCTATCAGTGCCAAAACCTCTGATGCATCAGTTCTGGGGAAAACTCTAGAGCTAGAAGATAAAATAAGCCTTCCCCTTACTTGCATGTTCAAATTGTTATTCCCAGCAATATGTGCTCCAAAAGCAGAGTGCTGCATCATTGGATCAGAGAGTTTATTTCATGGGTCATCTTCCATTTCCTCAGATCTAAAGTTGAAGCTAACTTGAAACACCAGCATATTTGATTTGGCATTATATTCTTTGGGTGAGGGGGAAGAAGAAAGTGTTACTATGAGGGAAGGACAATAAGATGCCACCAGTATTTTGGTTCCTAGAAATCTAGTCCTTCTCTATTCTATGACATGCATAAAACAAGCCAGAATTACTAGAGACACCATGTCGTGAAATAAAGATATGGAAACCAGCAGTACAACCAGTGTCAAGGACCTGCAAAGTGTTTCCATGGGCAGAACAACTTCTGTCCACAGAATGCAACCTTCTTGCCTCCTCTCTGTCCCCCCTTCCCCCCGAGCAGCATTTCAAAAGGCATTTTGGGCTGCAGTGAGGCAGGGGGAGGGAAGAAAGTTCTATTCTATGAGCAGAAATACTTCCATTCTCAGAAACATTCCATCACCTCAAGCAACTATAATTTAAAACTGTACATCCTCTCAACTTTGATAATTTCTTATTCCTCAGCATAGCATATTGGTTAAAAGCAGTGGATTCTAATCCAGAGAACAGGGTTTGATTCCCCAAGTCCTCCGTATGAAACCTACTGGCTGACCTTGGGCCAGTCACCGTTCTCTCAGAACTCTCAGCCCCACGTATCTCACAAGGTGCATGTTGTGGGGAAAGGAAGGGAAGACGATTATAAGACACTTTGAGACTTCTTAAGGTAGAGAAAAGCAGGACATGAAAACCAACTCTTCTTCTTCATCATCATCATTCTTTTTAACAATCCTTAACCTGTGTGTGAGGGGTTTCTGTTTAGATTTATCCTATCTGGTCTTAAAGGCTCAGAGAGTATAAGGTAAATTATTAACCCCTTTTTACAAGGACAGCAGAGGCTGACAGGCAGTAGCTTCGTCAGGTCACCCAGTAAGTTAATGGGTAAGGTGAAATTTGAACTGTGTCCTTTCTGGTTTATAATCTCATTTTCTTCTCTGTTATACTATATTACTTTTTATTCCCCCTCCCCTAAAGGAAAGATTTGTATGAGCTAAATTTAATAAAACAAAGTCTTACTTGCATATGATCTCCAGCCAAGACAATTCTTGTATTTTTGTTTGCTAATGCTAGAGGCATGATAGTCTCGCACTCCATGGCCTGTGCAGCTTCATCTAACAGAATATGTGTAAAAAACCCTTTAAAACAAAAACAGACAAAATGTTAAAAAGCATGTGATAAAAGTAGCGGTGGTAATGTATCCAAAAATGATATTAATTTCAAACCTAATCAACACAACAGTGGTTTGTCAAATGCCTGATTCTGGCAAGCTTGTTTCAGTCAACTTGCCATCCTACCAAAAACAAAAGCTGCATGCATAGTTAAGAAGAATGAACAGACAATTCAAGAAACCACCTTATGGCTTATCCATAAAAATTACCCAGACTTGCTGGAATTTCATATATTAAACTGTTAGCCCTATTTATGGTCAGGTTATATTATCATTTTTTCTGGCAGAGAGACACAATCGAGCTATGTGCTTTTCAGACTCTTTAAATAAGGGGGAAACTCCTCTTCCCTGTGAAAAATGCAGTTCAGGAACAAAGCAAAATGTGAGGGGGGGGTTTAGAGACGCAACACAAGAGGGATGAGCAGAGAAGCATAAATCTCATCAAAGTGTTCAATTATTCATCAGTAGCAATGATACAATCATTCAAGCATAATTAATAAAAAGCACACCCTGAACTATAGCTTTGAACTGAAGCTCTGGACATTTTTATCTTCCATTAAAACATTTACCTGCAACTGCAAATAGTTAAACTGGCTTTTATGCAGTGTGTGTATTTGTATGTGACACATGTACTTGCTATATGCACGTACTGGGAAGCCATGGCCAGTCTGCGCTTCCTACCATTTACATATACATAATCACACAAATATATGCACACTCATCACACATGAAAGCATGTACATGGTTTTTCTATATTGAACTGATATCAGTGTATGAAAAGTGAAACAATTCTACATGCTCTTTAGAAGTTTTAAAACACTGATATTGTTAATGTGGAAATACACACACACACAAAAGAGAAAATCTGCTGTTGCCACTGTATCAAATAATTGCACGATTTACACATGAAACATTTGTACATGGCTTCTCGAATAATGAAAATTCAGTGTTCTTAAAATATTGATAAACCAAGTCTTTGAAAGATGCAGCAAAGCATGTGAAGCATATTGTCCAAAACAAAACATTTCTGTATTCCTTTCCCATGAAAGCATTCAAAACAGACTGACACAAGAAGATGCTCAAGAGAATTACTTCATGCTATCAGAGATTTTCTTTCAAGAAGTACGAGTGGGGATGTTTGCTTTTGCCTTCCTTATCTGACAGGCACAATCAGGTTTAGGAAGGAATTCTCCTTAAGTTCATATTAGGAGATGATCCTGAGTCTTCTCATAAAATGTGGCATTACCCTCTCATCCGATATATCTGAATTACTTTAACACTCAACCTAAGGGCAAGCATTACATTTACTTTTTAAGGCCCTGTCTAATGTGGGGAAAGAATAAATATGAACATTATGTTCCTGTAAGTTTTTAAACAATCATTCTGTCCTTTTGATCTTTTTAAAAAGATCAGAGAGCTACTTTCTTTTTCCTTATGATCTACAGTATATTTAAAAGAAACAAGAATCAGAATGAAAGTAAGATTATATTGTACACGACTTTACAATGATAACAGACACTGAAAAGCCTGAGCATAGTTCTACATACTCAGCACCTTCAACAGTCACACAAAACACTGTGGCAGGGTTCACTTATGGCAGAGAAAGGTCACACAATGCATAAATCCAAAAACAGAGGTACGTGAGTATGCTTCCTCACCAGGTTCAAGATCCAGTTGACATAGATATTGTGAAGTATTCAATGTAACAACTACTACTCGTTGCTTAAGAATGTCTTCCTTCTGGGGCATCTGAAAGGTGGAATGTGTGCTTGAAATCAAACAGTATTGATGCACAACTGGGTGGACAGTCTTTACCCAGCGATTTCTGAAATACACCCTGGAAAGGAAGGGAAAATTTTACTTGCTGAGAAAACATAGATACAATTAATACTTCTCATCTAGTTAATTATTTGTTAGATAACGCAAACCATGGTGGAATGCATTATAGAACCTACTCATTATTAAACTCTTCACATTAAGGACTGCCTAATCCCATATAAACCTACCCAACCACTAGAGTCATCTCTGGAGGCTCTATTTCAGGTGCTCCTGCCATCTGAGGCTAGAAGGGTGGCAACCTGAGAAAGGGTGTTCTTGCTTGTGGCTGCAAAATTCTGAATTCCCACTCCATGGAGACTCAATTGTCCCTGTCTATTCACTGTCTTCCACCAGCAAATGAAGACTCTTCTGTTTTGTTTGGGGTTCTCTCACTGATTCTCACTGACCCTCCACCTCCTTCATGCATGTAGCTACAAGAGTTTTTAACTTGTTTAATTGTTCATCACCTTGGGGACCCCTAAGGTGGGTGAAAAGACAGCCTTAAAATGTTTTAAATACACAAATAAATAACTTTTATAAAGCAAGAAACTTGCTGTTCTCTGATAATATCTGAATCATACTCGCAAGCATGAAAGTGACAGTGTAGTGTAGTGGTTAGAATGCTGGACTAGGATCTTGGAGATCTGTGTTCCAATCCCCACTGAAATTTGTTAAGTAATCTTGGGTCAGTCACTCTGACCTACCTCTCATAGTTGCTATGAGGATAAAATGCAGATGGGAGAACCATGTACCCACCCTGAGCTTACTGGAGGAACAGCAGAATAAAAATGGGATAGTTGGAGTATTAAAACCATCAGGTTACCCAAATTCAGTGTCTTGCCTCACTATAGCCCAATATAAGCAGCATGTTCATTTTTTTCCAACCATCTTATAATCCAGTTTTGGATACCTTCTTAGACAATTGAATTTTAATGATATCACACTATTATTCTTAGAAAGCTACAGGAATCAAACCCCTATTGGCTAAAATAATTGCAACGCAAGGAAACCTTTACCTTTTGGCCTTTGAGGGAGAACTCATTGGAGGCAGGTCTGGCAGCAATGGGTGATGTGATACCACATGACTTGCATAACTCAGGTAGGCCTGGCTGCTTGCCACTGTTCAACATCAGCCACCCTATGAAAGTCAATGTGGTGTAGTGGTTACAACTTCAGAGAAGGGTCTGTGGGACCCATGTTTGAATTCCCCTCTTGCTGTGGAAGCTCACTGGGTGATTTGGGGGGGTTACATACTTTTAGCCCAATCCACCTTACAGGGTTATTGTGAAGACGAAAGGGAGGAGAGTGGAATAATGTAAACTGCTTTGGTCCCCATTGTGGAGAAAAGCAGAGTATAAATGAAGTAAATCAATAATAAATATAGCTGAAGATGGGAGACAGATAAAAGGTAAGTTGGTGAACAGCCAAGAAGCAGAGAATGAGGCAAGGGATGGGGAGAGGAGACAGGGGTTGCCAGGAGGGGAAGTAGAAATGATGTGGAAATGGGGATACGGGGGAAATGTTGTATCCCCCCTGAACTTGAGGGTTCCTTACTATGCAAGTGAGCCTTGCCCAGTGATTAGCAACACAAAACTGTGCCACAGTTTCCTACACAGAGAGTGCTCAGGGTGGGGGGAAGCTGAAGACAGAGGAGCAGGTTGGGTGGGAAGAGAGAAGGAAGCAGAAAAAGAGGAGAGGTTATGGGGGCTTTCAGGGAAGGGAAGAGAAAATACTGGGGGAGGGGGGAATGAAATACTCCCTGCAAATTTTACAGGTTCCTGCATATTCTATTTGATTTGCCAAATTCAGTGTCACAACTATCAGTCACAGGTAGACTTGAGCTGCAGATCTTGTGGAAGCTGAAGAATGTCTTTTGGCAAACATAGGCCTCTTAAGGCTCAAGGAGCTTTATGAGCTCCCTGCCTTGCTTCACCTCTCCCCACTGTGACCGGTAACAACCCTTTCCTGTTCCTATATAAATTTCTTCTTCCTGTCAGTAATATTTATCATAGAGACAAAGCACCTATTGCACATAACTCACAGGCCGTGATTCTTGCTTTGTCCTTTCTTGTGCCTGCTCCCTTATCCTGCAAACTGACTTGGTTCCTCTGCCCTGACTACCTGTTTTCCCCTCTGCTGGCAACCTTCTCTCTGTGGATTGCCTTTTAGAGCTGAACTCATAATTTTGGTCAGCTGCCTTTAGGGTTGTCAGGTCCCCTCGTTGCTCCAGTGGGGGGATTTGGGGGACAATTTGGGGTGGGTGGGGACAACCCCAAGCCCCACCAAGAGCAACCACCCAGGGCCACCCCTGTCCCTCCCCTCCTGCAAGATTTTAAGGGCTTCAGCTGATTGGTGGGGAGCATGTGGCCCGCTGATCAGCTGGAGGGACCTTTAAATGTTTCAGGAGGCAGGGAGAGGGTCTGTCACTGGCCACACACTGTGCTCACAAAAAGACCCTTTACGGGGTCTTTTTGCAAGTGGGGTGGGGGCTGCAGCACACAGGGCTGATTTCCCAGCAGTGATTCGCTGCTTGGGATTTGGGCATGCGTACCGCCACACCGCTCACAGTAGCAATTCACAGTGAGCAGGGCAGTGGGTGCATGCCTGAATCCCAAGTGGTGAATTGCCACTGGGAAATCAGCCCCATGTGCTGCGGCCCCCACCCCACTTGCAAAAAGACCCTTTAAAGGGTCTTTTTGTAAGCGGAGCATGCGGCTGGCAGCAGCCCTTCTCCCTCCCTCCTGAAAGATTTATAGGGCCCTCCAGCTGATCAGCAGACCAGGTGATCCCCACTGATCAGCTGAAGCCCTTTAAATCTCTCAGGAAGGGAGGGAGAGGGGTGGCCCCAGGTGGTCGCTCTTGGGGGCAGGGCTTCCACCACCAGCCAGCTGGCCAGCGGTGGTTTGGAGCTCCCAAAAGCAGGGGAACCCCCCGCCCACACCTGGGGGCTGGCAACCTTAGCTGCCTTGGCCTAATCATGTTGCTGGAACAGGCCTAACTACATAAATCCAGATCCCCCTCCTTTTCCTTGAATGGTCCTGACTTCCGGGGGGGGGCACAAAATCCCTCTAATTAATGTGTAATACATATGTTTTCAAAGAGTAAGAACCTGTATTCCTCAGGTCACCATTTTTTGCCCAACAGAAACAGGGCTGGAAAAAACCTTCCTTGTATGAATTCTGATCTTAGAATCTCTTCCAATTCCTCCTCACATGAATTAACAAGAGTAATATGGGGAAATGAAGTTTTATAAGTTTTCAGATAAAATTCCATATTATCAATTTATCTAATTTTCAACATGGCCAAACCTGCGGATACTTATATCCAGAAACTGGAGCCATGAACAGACAAGACCAATCTTTCCACAAACTTGAAAAATGTCTCAGGGATGCAAAAAAATCTGAAATCTTTAAATCCTCCACATAAGAGAAACAACACTTCACGAATGTGCATGTCATCCTTGCACAGGGGCCATGCTAATCTTCTCTGTCTCATTCCAATTTTAGTATATGTGTTGCCGAAGGAGGGAGAGAGTGAGAAAGAGAGACTATATGGTGTCTAACCATGTTTTATAACATTTCTCTTTCCTTCTCTGTTTGTTAAGCTTATTCGCTGTAATTGGTTTTAATCTTAGTGACGTATTGTTCAACACTATAGTTATTTGTATTTACATTGCTTTTATTTTGCCTATTTGGCAAACTGTATTGTTAGCTCTCCTTTGTTGTTACTGCTATGCCAATAAAGGTGGTGGTGGTGGTGGTGGTGATGATGATGATGAGAAACAACACTTGTAGCTTTAAGAAACCAATGGCCTCACTGGCCATTGCTAAGCAACCACAACTAGGGTTGCCATGTCTGAGTTGGAAAATACCTGGACATTTTGGGGGTGGAACCAGGAGAGGGCAGAGTTTGGGGAGGGGAGGGGCCTCAGCATGGTACAGTGCCATAGAATTCATCCTTCAAAGCAGCCATTTCCCCCCCCCCCGGTAGCTAATCTCTGTCAGCTGGAGATCAGCTGTACAAGCAGGAGATCTCCAGACCCCACCTGGAAGCTGGCAACCCTAACCACAACAATCACCAACCTTCAAGACTTAGTATCTGTCAGTAAAAGGCAGGGTGAGGAGGCAGGGTCCTCTCAAAAGCTGTTTTGGCCTTTGAGGAAGGACTCATCAAGGCTAGGCCTTGCAACAACCTTGATACCACATAACCTGCATGACTCACCCAGGACTGGCTGATTCCTACTGTTCAACAGAAGCCACCCCATAAATCCAGCATGGTGTAGTGGTTAGCGTTTCAGACTAGGGTCTGGGAAATCCTGGTTTGAATCTCCACACTGCCACAGAAACTCATTGGGTGACCTCGAACCAGTCACTCTCTCTCAGCCTGATCTACCTCACAGTGGCGATTTTGAGGATAAAATGGAGGGCAGGAGAATGATGCAAGCCTTGGACCCCCCATTGTGGAGAAAATCAGGGTATAAATGAAGCAAATAAATAAATATATTTGAAGATGGGGGACAGATAAAAAGCAAGTTGGCGGTTGGGAAAGACTGAAGGTAGCAGGGAAAGGCAAGGATATGGGGTTGCCAGGAGGAAGGAAAGAAGAAATAGTGTCAGGAAGGGGTACATTGGGAAAATGAGTTGCCGCCCGCAAGGCCTTGTGGGTTCCCCCACACACACGCAACTTGGCCTGGCCTGACAGCTAGTATTGCACAACTTGGCGATAGTTTCTCTGGATGCGGGGGGGGGGGGGCATGTTTAAGATGAGGGTCAGATAAAGGTAAGTTGGTTGGTGGGTGGGAAGGAATGACGAAAGCAGGGAAAGGGGAAAGGTTATGGCTCTCTCAGTGAAGGGAAATAGCAAGTGAGAGGAAATGCGATTCCCACTGCAAATCCTTGCAGGTCCCCCATTTGTTCTTTTATATTAATATTTTGGAAAACACCTTGCAAATGGCAACACAGTGGCATTTAACACTCTGGAAGACTGCTCAGATCTATAATACAGCAGCAAGTGTCTGTT